TAGAATAACACAATTATTCCTCAACTATTCTGTAACTATTCTGCTAGTTTTCCGCAACCGTTCGGTTTGTTCACTAACTATTCTATAATTATTCTTGAACTATTCGTTACGTCCTGGAGGTAGTGTGGGGGGGGGGGCGAATTATTGAATAATAGTGGTCGTACAAAAAGACCAGTTGAATGAAGATTAGCTAATGACAGTGGTGCATATTTGCAGACCATTGTGGGGAAAAGTCATGCTTGCCTATTAAAGGTTGTTGTACAATCTAATAAGTTCACAGTTATCCCTCATGTACATAACTGAAACAAAGACGGCTCTTCTTCTTGTGAACTTCTGTCTTCTTTCTTTCGTCCTTTTGATTTTATGGAAGGTTTTCTAGGGTACTTATATGTATAATGCAACGGTGATTATAAATCATAGAGTTTGACATATTAAGATAGTAAACAAACAGCCTTTAATCAAATATCTACCGAAGATCTTTATGATTTTTATGATCTTATGACCTACTGCCCTCCAAAATAATCTTTGTTTATGATCATCTGTATTGACATTTAAGGCTGTGATTGTTTGTATGTGCGTCATAAACACGAGTGAGTCGTGCATTTTTGTGTTCACAAATGTGGTTTTTGTATGATCATTTGTATTGATTTATAGGCTCTGATTGGCTGTATGTATGTTTGTCTGTTTTTGCAAGAAACTGATGTACATTATTAGTAAAAAATGCAGTAACCAGAATTATTCCAATTCTATATGAAATGAATATTTGCTGCTGTTGCTCTGATGCTATATACTTCATTAAATGCTGATGATTTTTTTTTAATTTTTTTTATTTTTTATCTTGACCTAAATAAAGAGGCTGTACAGATTCGAACTCTCTCTATCCGTTGCCCCACGCCAATGAATAAACTTCCGGTGCATTTATACGAAATAATACTTCACTTGACTTCTTCTAAAACACATCTGAAATCATACATGTACAATTAATTCTTCTTGTTTTGTTGATTGACTAATGCCTAGGTCACATTTGCTCTACGGCTAGGATACAGCGGCCGTACGCCCCCGAAATCGAGAGATACTTCCGGCGGCCGCAGAGAATCTCTGGCCTCAGGGTGGCCTCAGGGTCGACCTAGGGCGTATCCCTATATTTACAGGCCTTACGGGACGCCGTGCGATTATAACGCGGGGTTATACCTGATTTCATTTCTAGATTCGCCGTAGCGATTAGACACGTCGTAGCCATGCCGTAGAGCGGTTCCAAGGTGACCGTACGTCGGGCGTACGGTAGCCTTGCGTTTTATACACGCCAGGGGTGAAGCGATAACATTAGTCTGACCGCACGGTCGACGTATTGTCCCCCTTCGGCCGAATTGTGGGTTTGTTTGTTTGTTTATTTATTTAAATACGGTGATAAAAAAACATGCTTTCAGCTTAGCATAGCTGTTTTTCAGCATGTCCGTACATGGTACATTAAAATACATATGAATAAACAGATAAAACACAAAAATTAAACAATAACAAATACATAAAAAAAAATAAGTAAATGTAAAGAAAGAAAAAAAGAAATACAAATTTAAACAAAATAAATATAATACAAGTTCAACAAAAGAAATACAAATGCAAGTTAAACATAAGGGGAATATATATATATATATATATATATATATATATTAATGAAACTAGAAAGGGTTGGAGTATAATTGAGAAATCAATCTGGTGAGAATATTTATGTTATTAAGTAAGCGGATTGACTCTGGGAGTTCATTAAACAGTTTGATACCAATATAAAGTGAGCTATTTTTAAGAAAGTTTGTCCGTGGTGTGCCTAAGTGAAGAATACATCTGTGGTTGCGTAAAGAATAAAAACTTTCCTTAACAATTATTTTCGAACATAGAGATGGTGGTGCCAGGTTATGGATCCGTTTAAAAATTAAAATTAATAAGTCCTTTTTAATCTTAATATTGCTAATGCAATCAATTTTTACATTATTATATATATCTTTTCTGCTTTATCTACAATCTACATTCAAAACTATTCTCAAGGCCCTATTTTGTAATATTTGCAATTTTAGTAAATGATGGGAAGAAGGACAAAGCCAAACGAGATGACAGTAATCAAAATACGATTGAATCATTGTGTGATATAAAACAATAGCAGTGTCCCTATCAATATATGGTCTAGCTCGTCGCAATACAAACAAATTTCGGAGTATCTTTGATTTTGAATTTTCAATTTTGGGGGACCATGACAATGATTTATCCAAAATGACACCTAAATATTTTAATTCATCAGTAATTTCCAGAGAATGACCATTGATACATACTTTGACATGTTGAAATTTCAAAAGATTTTTCCTTGACCCAAACAGAATAAACTTACACTTTCTTTCATTAAGTATTATTAATTCATTATGGGAAAACCAATTTGTTACTAATTCAAGATCTTCAGTTAAAATTTTCTGTAACTGAAGCGGATCTTTAGAGGCAAAATAAACACAAGTGTCGTCTGCATAAAGGGATACGAAGCAATTTCAAACAACTTTCGGCAAATCATTTAGGTACAAAATAAATAAAATTGGGCCAATTATACTACCTTGAGATACACCGTGTTTGATAAAAGACGCGGCTGATTCATTACCATTTATAACTGTTATTTGACTTCTCAAGTAAAAATAATCCTTGAACCACTCTATTACATTGTCATGAAAACCATAAAACTTTAATTTATGAATGAGTATATCGTGAGATACCAAATTGAATGCTTTTTCAAGATCGAGTGACACCATACCGACAACATTGCCAGTGTCAATGGCTAACCTAATATTTTCAATTAAATCTAATAATGCAAACGTGGTTGAATACTTAGGGCGAAATCCATATTGATTACTAACCAGAATCGAAACGCTACGGTCGCCGCAGGGTCGCCCTAAGGCGACCGTGCGTCATCACTGAAGGCCATACGGCAGTCGCAGATTTTCCGTCTCCACACATTCAAATTACGCCGTGCGGCTACCCTAACATATGTGACCGCTACCGTATGTGACCGTGGGAATGCTGCGGCGGTCCTATAATTGCTATTGGCCATAGATATGTTAGACCGCATGGCCGTCGTTGCAAATGTGACCTAGGCATAAGGAGGTGCGCCTTGTATCCTCAGGAAAATGTGCTAAATAAATCCACTTGTTATATTATTATCATTATTATTATAGTTAATATTGGAATTATTATTATATTATATTATACCGTGTGAGTCAAAAAAAAGTTTAAACCTATAAAATTGTTAATTATTTTTAAAATCATCTATGTACAGTGAATTATTATACATTTTATGAAAGAGTGTTTTATCCTAAATCATTGATACCATTTTGTGTGGTATGTGCTCACGCTTGGATGAACGAGAGTGCAAAAATCGACTTGCGCCAAAGTAATGCCTACTGTATGTATTATGTAAGGATTAGCGGAGTGAGATAATGGATTGAATATATCAAATGAAATGTATTGCATATGCTTTTCGCAGAAGCAAAGTCGCACACACACACACGCACACACCCACAATTGTTCGTTGATATTTTATATGTGTGGCATGACTAATTTTGTTAGGGATGTTATTTGGATCTGCAAAGACCGAATTGATACCCAAATCCCAATTGTTTCATTCAAATATCACATAAGCAACTTTGGCGCATGTCGATTTTTGCACTCTCGCAAACAATGCCTGCTGTTCATTCAGGCATGAAAACATACCGCACAAAAATGATACCAAATGATTTGGGATAAAACACTCTTCCAGAAGATGTATAATAATCTACTGTTCATTGATGATTTGAAAAATAATTAGCAATTTTCTAGTTGTAAACTTTTTTTTTGACTCACACTGTATATTATAATATGTATCGTATTACATCATCGTTTTTTAATTTTAAGCCCAGTGGCATGAACGGAATGAAAATGACGAAGTTTTTCGGAAAAACTCACTCAGTTGTCCAGCTTCTCCTCATTCTTTGGATGACATCCCTCATCCACATTGCAGTTGGGGGTAAGTAACATTGAATACACGTATACAGGTTACGATTGTATCTGTTTATCAATTTGTAGGCCCCGTGGATAATTATCCCCCCCCCCGTGGAAAACTATCCCCCTATGGACAATTACCCCCGTGGATAAATACCCCCGTAGATATTTACTCCCATGGACAAGTACCCACCGAGGACAATTATCCCCCGGAAAATTACCCCTAGGAAAATTACCTCCCGTGGATAATTACCCCCCCCCCCGTGGAAACCCCCCCCCCGATAATTAACCCCATGTTCATTCACAGTGGAAGTGATTAATTGGATTGGGGGTAATTGTTCTCGGGGGGGGGGGAGGGTGGGGGAGGGGTGGGGATGGGGGGTATTTTTCGAGGGGTAATTGTCCTCAGGGGTTGTTGTCCTCGGGGGATAATTTTCCGGGGGGGGGGGTAATATCTTATTTTTTTTAATTTTTAAAGATTTTCAATTGTTATAGCATTTATTAAAGTTAAACAAATTATCACACAAAAATAACATTTTCATAATTTACAATTTTAACGAAATTCGAAAAATTACTCTCAAATATAACTTTTTTTTCAGAGCAACCTTAAAATGGTTGAAATATTTCTGGTCACGTGAAGAGCTCTCAACCAATCAAAATCCAGTATATTTTTGATGCGAGATATAATGAATACAATTAAAAAGTCATCGGTTTAAGAAAGGAGGCAAAATATAACAAAAAGTTATTAATAATAGATAATAACAACACTAAATATCCGTATTTGCGTATACTTGCCTAGAAAAACATTCGATGACCTTTGAATGATTGAGATTGTGTAGATTATAAATTACACTTAATTTGGGTTTACATTACGGTTTCATGCGATTAAGGTGATTATTCTCAACTGTCCCACATTCTTGAGCGATGGTTACCATATTAATGACACCTCATTGATCTTTTCTTCTCATTTCGAATATACAATTGTACCTGTAGCACCGTTTGAAGCCGACAATCTCGGTAGAGAATTCGTGTTCGCCTTCCCGCCAAATTTCGTCGAAAGTCAGACCCAACCTACGATTGGCGTCATTGTGGAGGCCATTTCAACCAACGTCACTTCCGTTACGGTCAATGTGCCGTTGAGGAGTGTGGGTTTCAATTTCACGCTTGAACCCGGATCAGCACCCTATGATCTCGTGCTTTCTCCCGACCTTGCCACGACTGGGGTAGCAAATGTAACGAACGCTACGGTTGTGGTGAAGTCCGATCAAGATGTCTCAGTGACGGCTTACAATAGCAAATTTAGTTCCATGGCAATGTTCACAGTGTTACCGATCAAGCATATGGGTAAGGAATACTTTATCGCGACCCTTACGGAACCAAGAGGGGGTGTTGTTCTATTGTCTGCAATTAACGAACCGACTGAACTTAAAATAGAATTGACCGGTAGAGTGGAATTTCGTGGTGAATGGCATTCACCGGGAAGTGTTATTATATGTAGCTTGAGACCATATGAAACATTAAAACTTAAACTACTGCACGACGATATCATAGGAACAAGAATTACCGCCAATACGTCGATTGCAGTGACTATCGGTGGCAATTGTCCAAACGTTCCTGATGGTGCTAATTTTTGCGATCACATCGCCGAACAGCTAGTTTCATTTGATCGCTGGGGACGTTCATTTTTACTAAGTCCGTTCGCCAATCGACTGTCCGGATATCAATTCCAAGTTGTTGCCGGGAGAAACGATACAAAGGTATCATTGGGAAATTATGAAATAGACTTGAACATGGGGGAGCACTACCTAGGAGATATTGCCAATCAGAGCATGACTTCAATATCAGCGACCAAACCAGTCATGGTGATGCAGTACTCGAAAGGTGGGACCACAGACCAAAGCGGGGGGGATCCAGCCATGCTGTTAGTCACTCCTTGGGAGCAATATGTCTCGCGTGTGGAATTTCCTGTGTTAAACTTCTCCGCAGCAGGGATCTCCACAGTCCATATCGGTGTGATATCTGAATGCAATGCGACTCATAACATCGAGTTTGACAACTACAAGTACAACGAGGTAAGATGTTTAGTCCAATATTAGTTCAATTCTACATTGTCTCTGCAGAGGAACAGGAAAGTTAGTCAGAGAGCTAATTAGTTCCCTTGTCCAAACCATTCAGGACTACCACTCCAGGCACACTGACGAGACCAACCAACACCAGACCATCAATAATGTATACCGAACAAAGTTCACTTCACAAAGAATGGCCACGCATCGGTCGGTTGGAGTAGATTCGGCGGTGTGACTAAGGCATGAATGTGCTTTCGTTTTGGGTGACGACGGAGCCTACGACGGTAAAGTTAGGTATTGAACCTGTCTGCGCATGCTCGTAACTGGAGGTTCGTCGGTCATCGAAAATCTACGACGGTTTTCGGGGTGTTTTACCGTCAAGTTTGCTGTAGGGCCCATGTACGAAAGACTTTTTCGTAGGCAAACTTGATTTTTTGACCAAGATTGACCAAGATCGAAATGATCAGGCATGTCAGGCGATCAAGTTGGTGATTACGTGATCAAATTGGCCAGTTCGGTGCAGTCGTGAAAAACGAAACTATTCATTCGCAGGATGGACGCTTCGCACTCCCGACGATATAGTCACATTTTTTTTTACCGACGCAGGCTCCGTCGCCCCCAAAAATAAGCACACTACAGTGCGTCTCAGAAAAAACGAAACCGAGAATTATCGATGTTTTATCACAACTTAATCACAATTATATTTGATACATGACACATATTTGGAAAGCTTTATAACTTTCCTCCTCTTTCATTTGATGCAACTCATATGATTCATATTTCACGCATGAGTGACTAAAATCAATTTTGAAGAGAGGATACCAAAAAGTCATTTGGCGGACGGTATCTGAATTTCAAAGAGAAAATCACATTTCCAGAAATTTGAGTTTCTGCCCTTTCATATGACACCTCAGTTAAGAAAAATGAGCTAGGAATAACAAAGTTCTGTTTGTTTACATTAGTGCTTGCATTTCCATAATTTTATCAAACGAATTTGTTTTCACTGGCTGCCTGTCGTAGCAACAAACGGAATTAACAAAAGACTTAACTCCGTTTCGTTGACAATCAGCCGTAGACGAAAGACTTCATGCATGGCTGATTGTCAACGAAACGGAGTTAAATCTTTTGTCAATTCTACTTGTTGCTACGGCAGCCAGCCAGTGAAAACGAATTCGTTTGATAAAATTATGGAAATGCAAGCACTACTTTAAGCAAACAGAACTTTGTCATTCCTTGCTCATTTTTTTTCTGATTGAGGTGTCATATGAAAGGGCAGAAACTCAGCTTTTTAGAAATGTGATTTTCTCTTTGAAATTCAGATACCGTCCGCCAAATGACTTGTTGGTTTCCTCTCTTCGAATTCATTGTAATCAAATGAAAGAAGAGGATCTAAGCTTTCCAAATATGTGTCATTTATTAATTATAAATGTGTCTAAGTTATGATAAAACATCGATAATTGTCGGTTTCGTTTTTTTCTGGGACGCACTGTAGTATAACCGCCCGCTAGTACCCTGATTACATTTCCTCGTTACAAGCATGTATGTTTTAATTGGTCGTACAAGTTTCCTCCTCCCTTTATTAAAAAAAAATCCATTAATACACCTCTTTCAGTCTGCATGTTTGCTCCTTTTCTACCTATACATTTCGATTAAAAAGTGATCAAGAATATGCTGCGTTATCTTTTCCTTATTGTTTTAAATAGGTTGTTTCTCATATTAACTCAACTAATAGGTACCATGGCTCTTCGAGTACGATCTCGTCACCAGCGACAACCGAGTGATTTGTAGTCGTTGGGTGACCATAGAGGAAGGTAGTCACGAGCTGAAAAGCGAATCAGCTACGCAAGTAACATGTGCAGAAGAGACATTGTTCACCGCTCTGGTTTACGGAGTTGGAATTAGTGTACGTATCGCTTACCTGTACAATGCAGGTTTTGGACTGCAACCACAAACGTGCATCGCTCCAAGTCCTGACCCACCATACAAGGAGATTGAAGTGTCGTGTGCAAGTCAGCGAAGAAGTAGGTCACGGTGCCATAAACGATATATTCAACTGTAGACTCTATTCACCCTTGCAAATTACCTGGGTGTGTTTCATCAAGCCTTTACATTGATCTTATAGGGCAATCAAAACCTTGTAATAAATGCATTTGAATGAAAGAAAAACAAACAAAGAAACAGAATGGCGAAAGTTTGAAATGAATCGGAATAATAACTGGAAAGTTATGAAGGTTTTAAGTATGAGAGCACTGCATCCATGCGAATCTCAGATTGGAAATTTAGTCAGTGTAGTCGCGGATGACACTCCCCTTTGTCGTGCAGAAAAATATCACTAATTTCTGTTTTTATCCTAATCGCCGCCATCCTTGGGGCACCGTCACTAAGAACAATTATCCCCCCTGAAAAGTATCCCCCCCCCGGGGACAACCAACCCCAAAAGACAATTACCCCCACCCGTGGACGATATGTTTAATCTGGATGGAACTATTAAATATTTGGCTTTGCTTTTTTTCTAAATCAAATTATTATAGGCATACTGAATTCCATACTGCTTTAATTATCTGCATCTTTAACCCCCCTCCTGTGAACAATTACACCGGAGGACAACTACCCCCTTAACATATAGGACAAATATGGTCTAAGGACAACCAAGGACAAGCATCCTCAAGAACAAATACATTCCCCCCGAAAATTAGTCCGGCCTCCCGTTCATTAAAGGGGAAGTCCACACTGATAATAAGCTTGTTTTATAATAAAAGCATAACGTTCGGGGGGGGGGGGGTAAGTGTAAAGCTTCGTCTTGAAATTAAGGATGTTTCCTCTCCTCTGTGCAGTTAATTGTTCTGGGAGCGACCCATGTCAGAACGGAGGTACCTGGGAGAACAATGCATGTCAATGTGCAGCCGGTTTTGATGGTGTTTCGTGTAGTACAGGTATGGAAATCTATTGTAACATATATTAAAGGTATAATTGAATTTCGGTATAGAGGGCACTACAGAAAATAATCTTTAGGTGAGATAATGAAAAAATGAGTGACAAATTTGAAAGAGCATACAATTTAAATGACAAAATCATCTTTGATAAAAATCGGTTTTGAGACGGTTGATATATATTCAGAGACATAACCATTTCTTATATTTGTGGGGGAACCGGTCGTTGAAAAAAAACGAAAAAACGCCTTGTGCATTTTATTCGGGTAGGTGAAGCGAAAAATGTAATTTTACCCCGCATTTGTGTTACTACTCATTGAAAGCATTTTTTTGACATGGGCCTCCTAAGGGGAGATGGTAGGGCTATGCCGGAAACGCCACCTAATAGTGTGGTACGTAGGTAATTTGAAACGCAGAACGTATAATTTAGCGAACGGTATCTGAATTTAAACAAGAAAATCACTTTTCTGTTTGTTTAAAGTAATGCATTTCCATAATTTTAGTAAACTAATTCGTTCAAACTGGCTGCCTGCCGTAGCAACAACCAGTGTTTGAAATGCAGGTATTACTTTAAACAAACAGAACTTTGTTATTCCTGGCTCTTTTTTCCTGATGGAGGTGTCATATGAAAGGGCAGAAAATAAACCTTCTAGAAATGTGATTTTCTCTTTGAAATTTAGACCAAAAAAAACTGAATTTGGCTCATAATGCAATGATAATTATTAACTTTTAGGTAAGTCAGGAACCCCATGACTTTTACACGCCGATCGCCTGTCTGATTATCAAGATATTTATGATTGGAAATCGAAATCAAATTTTGCATTTTTCTAACGGCTTTCATAACACTACAGTGTTTTGGGGGAGTCTGGGAAAACCGGTCACTCAAAGATTTTTACTATTTTGAGACACTTCTTGATCATTTTTTGAAGCGCAATTTGTTTAGGGCTTCAATATTGCACCATATCGCAGACACTGATAATACGTAGGGCCGTGCATCTCAGATTTAACATTGTTAAGTGTTACCTTTAAAGCCTTGTATAAGCAGGCACGTAGCCAGAGTTTGATGTTTGGGGGGGGGGGCACATACATGTAATCGATCGAGGTCAAAAAAGGGGTCTACAAAATTTCAACCGATCCTGGAAATTTTAGGGGGGGGGGGGCACGTGCCCCCCGTGCCCCCCCCCCCCCTCCGTGGCTACGTGCCTGTGTATAAGACGAGAAAGAGTCTTTCTCAGCGTAAACAGGGCGCCTTAAGCCTCTTTCACACCGGGCCATACGTAGCGTTGCGTAGTGTTACGTATCGACTACGCCGAGCTTACGCTGCCCTACGATGGCCTACATAAATATACGCTGAGGGACGCAAAGGGGTACGCAAGATGAACGCAACAATTAAACACGTTTTTTTTTTGTTGCATACTTTCGGCGTTGAGACTATAGACACTACTAAAGTACGCATTTTGTACACAAGTCTACGCAACACTACACTACTGTACGCCACGCCTACACAGTAGTACGCTACGTACCCTACGCCAGTCCGACGAGGCAGTAAAAGCGTTTAAAATGCCTCCTAGATCCTACGTGCGTACCTTTACGCCAGGCCAACGTAAAAGTACGCCAATCTACGCATATTCTAAGCAGGGACTAAGCCGAAGCAACATTTTTTTCATGAATACGCAGCCTAATTTCGGCGTACTCGGTACGCCACACTACGCAACTCTACGCAGATCCAGTGTGAAAGTGGCTTTAGCAAGTTGTTATTACACGCCTTCTCGCTTCTCTACTTAAACATATGGCGCCTTGACGTGTTTTGACGATTCGCCTTCTGACCTTCCCGTCTTCATAATGGCGCATTGGCGAATTAAACAAGTCGCCGTCTCGCTGCACGTTTCGCTTCCCTAGCATCGGGCACTTCTTGGAAAAAGGAATACCTGCACAGTTTGCAGTAATTCATTTTAAATGCATAAACAAACATGGAATTGAAATTTGTCGAGGGCTTTGTCTTAACACTTTTTATTCATTCTTTTTGTAAAGCTATTTGCCAGAATATCTCATGGATATCTCCTCGTTTTGAAAAAGTCGAATTTCCTGTGGGTGAAAACGGAACGTGGGCGAATTCAACAGGAATGTGTCCATTCAACACTACTCAAGGTTGGTTTTGATGGTCTTTCCTTCATTTTTAATTTGAGGAATAAGATAGGGGAATAGGTTGAATAGCACGATCAATATATAGGCTTGTGCAGATATGGCGCGGTAATACGCTGCAAAATAAAAACGCTGCGTTTTTTTTGGTGACGTGTTAATGAATGGCAACTGCGCGATAGAAAACCACTCATTACTCGCAATATCGTTTCCAAAATATCCTTGTGTTCATGATGCTCAACCGATGTAGTTTATTTCACTTCGTTATTAAACATTAGCGAATCAAGATAGGTGAATGGAGTCTAAAAGCCCCTTCCTATAGATATTCCAGCCTCCAAACTGGTACATGAATAAAAATGAATTTAAGCGAGGCACACGTAGAAAATAAATGCAGGAACCCCAAGCCCCCATCCCTCAGATTTCGATTTATATCTATTCTAGATCCGCCAGAGTCATGAATTTCTCGAGAAAATTGTAATCATAGACGATTATTCTTTACTTTCATTATGTCTCCTTCTTTGTTAGTATATGGTAATAATTGTTTGTCAGTGTTATTTTGATATACATATAAATATATGTGTATTTGTTTATATACCGAACAGCCAATGAACCGATTGGACGGGCTCTGTGTTTTGGCGATGGTATTACCCAGAGCCAGTGGTATCCTGTGGATAATTGCGGACCATTTAGAAATGTCACAGATATTCTCACAGAAATTGCACAGGTTTTTTAAAATTTTCTTTTCATATTTCGATCATTGAAAAAAGGCTTTTTAATAACCTTCATATGTAGTGCATTTGTGTTTAGTATGTTGTAGATACCACTAATAATTACTACCTGAAAAGAAACAAAAATAATTATAAAAAACCGATCACCCGATTCGTTACAGTATTTTTAACCAGTAATGTGTACAATTTTACACAATAGACATTCATGTTCCATTCTTATTAAATTTGTTGTAAAGAGTGTATCCTTACTTTACATTTGAAAACTATGAAATCATGCCTAACAGGTAATGAATAGCCCATGTTCAATCAACTATACTGATTGTTTTAATATCATTCCATTCACAAATGGATTGGAAGATTTGTGTTCAAGGCGGCAGCATATTCTCTGTCATATTCATTGACAATACTAAAATAGGAGCACTCTTGATACGGCATTGAAAACCATGAAATAGTTTGACACTAGTAGAATTTTACCGAAGTATTGCATTTATAAGATGTTGGTCTGATTAAAATCATTTGACAACCGTAGCGATAATTTATCCGGAAATTATCTAACATTTTCCGGTTCATGAGTTGTGAAATTAGATATTATAGGACACATTCTTAATTTTTGTTAAAATTAAGATGGTATGTGGAGAAAAAACCTACTTATGTGTCATTGCAATATTGTAAGGGGGACGCGTTCGCTAATTGTTGATGTTACCCTAAGACCTGCCCCTCCCCCTCTCCGGTAAGCGTTATTTTTTTCTGCGGCACAGATTGGGGCCAGGTGCGTGTTGAGCCTATGGGAAAGTTTAGGGATTGGGTTAGGGTTAGGGTTAGGGTTAAATCAAGACCCCTTTAAAAAAAAAAAGCCCCAATCTGTGCAGCAGAAAAAAACAACGCCTTCGGTAAAGGGGTACTTTTCACGCAACAAAGTCCGGCTCATAATACCCCCCCCCAAAAAAAAAAAAATCGGCCCGTATTGACTTTACACAGCGGACTTAGGGGGTGATTTCAAAGAGAGGGAACATGCATACGCGTTGCCTAAATAACACTGAGTGGGGGAGGGGGGGGGGCGGGCCCTAGGAGGGAAAGTTTTATCACTCAACTCAATGTTTACATGCTGTAATGATAGTTTCCCCTCAAATTTTAGGTAATCGTAAGTGAAGAAAACGCAGGTGAAGTGAGCCAGCAAGTTGCATACATTACTTCCAACATCGAAGATATCACATCCGATGACATCATGTTTGTGGCAGAGATAACATCAAACATTGTGAAGCAAAATCTTACTAGTGAAGAGGTATTATGCACGATGCCAGACCGATCCTATTGAATATGACGTTGCGATGGTTGATGAATTTTATTATGTTCGATAAATATCTCATGGGAAAAATGGAAGTCTTCCCTCCGATACATATATAAATTGTTTATAGAATGTGAAAGAGGTAAATCCCATAACCGTTTTTAACAATATTTGACGCCTTGAAGCTAAACTACTGTGAATGAAGAATTTCCTAGAGCCTAACCCCGCATCAGGCTCTTTTCGGAAAATTTGTATAATATTTAATTTTTTCCAATACAGATTTAGGTCTTTAACTGTCCTTTCATATCTTTTTGACCCCTCGACGGTTTGTTCTGCCAGAAGTTGTGTAATAGCTTTAAAATTACAGCTGTGCTAGGGCTGTCATGTTATTTAATACCCTATTGTCATTCATTTTGATTTTTGAGATTTCTCCTATTATGGTTTAAATCATCTTCTTCTTTTGTGATTGAATTGACAGGTAACAAAGTCTATAACGAGTATTGTGAGCAATATAGCTCAGGTAGAAACCGAAGAGCTTGAAGCCGCAGAGGAAGAAGGTGGGGCAATAAGTAAGTTTGTCCAGGCTTTTGAGGAACAAATCAATCATGTTCAGGTTGCCGATGGTGGGATGCTCAACATTCAGCAGCCAAATGTAGCCGTACAGGTGATTTTACATTAATATCATAAGTTATGAAAAAATAATTTGATTTCAACCAGTATACCAGAATATAGAATTTCATGTCCAAGTTAGCCCTTTTTTTTGCATGGATATTACCAAAAAATGTATATAAATCCTGACACTGCCATTAATCTATTGTGGTCCTATTCAATCTGGTGTCCAACAAGTCGCGGCACTTTCACAATTTTTCTTTATAGTTTAAAAAAGATCTACCAAACAACATCATTATTTGTGCATTTATGTGTGCGGGTTACAACACATTTTGAATTTGGGGGATGCATTACTTAAACGTCTGTGCATGGTGCTATTCGCCTCATTTTCAATCATTATCAATCATGATTAAAATGATAAGAATAATAGTGATAATAATAATGACAATGAAAACAATGATTATAATAATAATATGAACTATTATAATTATACTAGTAATAATGATAATAATGATAACAATCAAACTGGTGTAAATAAGTCATAATGATATTATATCAATACAAATACAAATATAGTAATGATAGTAATGATGTAATGATGATAATGATAATGATAATAATATTAGATTTGTAAGGCGCCAAAGCCACTTGAATCATATACTGAAGGTGCACTAGTGCAATCACATAAACCCCATCAAAGCATCTGAATTTTAAACAGGCTACAGAAGATTAAAAAAGGGAACAATTAAGTATATTCCAATCGAAATATAAATAATAATATACATTTAATATACGTTTGAACACCTTAAATGATCTGCCTTTACGAATTTGTCAAGGGAGAACATTTTACATCGTGCATGAGCAAAGGTTCCCTCTCTCACTTCCTAATTTCAGATAATATGGATGATAATAACAAATAAATAAATAAATACAATAATAATGATGATCACAATGATAGTAATATGCAAATATTGATGAAGATGAGAATGATAATAACAATAATAATTATAATAATAATAATACAATTAATAATAATAATAATAATAATAATAATAATAATAGTAATAATAATAATAATAATACAAATAATAACAATAATAATAATAATGATAATAACAATAATAATTGAAGTTCTAATTCACAGGCTCAGAGTGTACTTGCTGACGACGTAATGAGCGGTCTTGTAATTTCGCTAGCTGGATACAGTCTTTCTGACCTGACCAAGTCCAATATTACCATCGGTGCTCCAACCCAAGATGACCGCTATGACATCATTGCTACCAGACCAGACATCATCGCTCAGGTCAACATTCCACCTTCAGTTTCATCCGTCATTTCGTCCGCGGTCCCACTCTCAGGATCGCCGTCGAATGGCAGTGTTGAATACGTCCGGGTCAACTTCAATGTATTTTCATCTCCAGCTCTGTTCATTTCAAAATCATTGCGCACAATCAGTGCAGATAATGAAGGCTTCAATCGATCGGCTAACTCGCTCGTGATTTCTCTCAGTATTGGTCAAGGGAAAGTAGCAGCCTTGACCGAATTCATCAATTTTACCTTCACTACAATAATGGTAAGAGCTATAGTGTCTTGGTCGAGTGGCTTAATGCGCTTGACTAGAGTGCGAAGGTCGAGGGTTCGAATTTCGACACGGCACTAATATACTTTGGCAAGATATTAACTGCACCTGCTACTCTCTACCCAGGTGTTTAATGGGTACCTGGTAAGATGCGACCGTCATTATTTGGTCAAACAGTTTTGAGCGTCAAGTAACTCCTGCGTGGTATGCTCCCCAGGGAGTGGAGATTGTGTACACTTTATTTGAGGGCAAGAATTGAAACCAATGGCCGGGGTAATATTATATCTGTAAGCGCTAAGAGACATCATAGATGTACACTTTTGGTCATAATGGTGGAATATTTATTTTTACCCCAGTTTAGGGAAGGATCTTAACAAATTATTTATTTCTAATAGATCTAGATAATGGCATACGTTCTCAGATTTTATTGAATATTAATTTGCGAGTTTTTGTTTTGCGTGACTGCTAAATCATATGTGTGCTACTATGCTAATCAGCTAGGGAACCTACGTCCTTAAATCATAATTGACAGTAATGAGGATTAATGCCTCACAAAAGGGCACTAATATATAGCTGATCGACACGATTTTTATCCTGGGGCCTCACAGTAACGAGGCCATTGCTTAGCCCCTGAATCATGTCTGTACGAAGTGTTTGCTAGGATACGCGGCCCCTTCCACAAATCCCCCAAAACGAAGAAAATGCAAAAAATTGTCAAAAATTCATTGCATTTTCCCCCGGCCCCTAAAAGGAAAAATTCCTCTGTAGGGCCATGCATTATGGTTCAAAACATGGCCACACAGAGGAATTTTTCCTGTTGGGGGCCGGGGGAAAATGCAATGAATTTTTTATATATAAAAGCGCAATTAGTATTATTATTATTATTATAACAATAACATCTCAGAATAACGATTTTTTAACATGTTAACGTATTTGTAATCTACCTTTAGCAGTATTTATAGAGAATTAAATTTCTAGACACAAACACAGTGGCGTAAGCAGGATTTGTTCAAGGGGGGGGGGGGGTTAACATTTTGAAATCGGGCCAAAAATTTCGCAACGACTCAGCCAGCCGCTGAATACGCGAGGGGGGGGGGGGGGGTAAGAGGACATTTTTTTTTTGTCCCAAAAATTTCGCAACTAATCAGCCAGTCGCTGAATAAGCGGGGGGGGGGGGGGGGGGGGGGGTAAGAGGATATATTTTTTTTTTTGGGGGGGGGGTCACGAAATTTAAAAATTTGACCGGTCATTCTGTTTCGTTGGGGGAGGGGGTAAGGTCATCTCATTAGGTCGTCCATTAGGAAAAAAAAATCACCACTCATAAGGGGGGGGGGGGGGTTTCTCAAAAAACATATACATACAAAAAACTGAAGGGGTGGTTTAACCCCCCCCCCTCCTCTGCGTACGCGCCTGCACACACACATATAAATATATATATATAGGGGATAAATTTAAACATTATTTGTATTTCAGTCTATTTTTTTCTTTTTTAACTCATGTGTTTGATTCCTCTCAAGACAAATGGGCTTTTAAACTGACAATCAAATTATCAGTCATTCTTCTTTCATGCCTTGTTTAACTAATGTTATTATGGGTCTATGCATTTCTTGATGTTTTTGTTGTTGTTGTTGTTATGTAGTCTGGATACGTGAATCCCAATTGTTCATTCTGGGATGAGGAGCAGAAAGATTGGTCCCAAGATGGGTGTGTTCTTGTTTCTGGAATTACATCATCTGATGAGCGCTATGATGAGGAGAGAGTGCGCTGTGCGTGTGATCATCTTACCAACTTCGCTGTTATAGTGGTCAGTAAAAAACAATTAGGCAATTATTATATCCATTCTTACCATTTAACTACTCCCCGGACAACTGTAGCCCTACTAACGATATAAAACGCAGTAGGTTGCTAGAGACATAGTGTGATAATCCTCTTGATGACCTAGGGGTATAGTTGGTTAAAAAGTTGGTTAAAAAAATACTAACAGGTGTTTGTGGACGAGCGGTCAATATTCGACCTCTTCCCCTTTTACAATTCCCCTTTTACTTCCGAAGAACGCTGAAGTATAGAGCTGGTCTTCAATTGGATTTGAATAATTTTTTCACTCTTGAGATCGAATAAAGTTTGGAGGTGTGGTGTTTTGTGTGAAAGGTAGTAAAGTGACATTCTTTTCTTTGTTTTCCATCAGTAATATGGAGGTTCCACCACTTTCTATAATAATAAGCCCCCATTTTCTCAGTTTTCAAATAATGACACAAAGACTTTATGAGAGCTGATGCCTCTAATACTTAGTTTTATTTAGACATTCGAAGAATATGTTTCAGTTTGGGCTCCAATTTCTTTCATGTTACAGGATATCCATAGACCGGAGGATTCACCCATCGAGGCTTACAACATCCTGACTTACATTGGATGCTGTATTTCTATTTTCAGTCTTCTTGTCACATTGACAACCTACCTGTGGAACAAGTGAGCCCATTGAGACAAATAATGCCATTATTAATGTACTACAAAGGGACAGAATATGTAATTATTCTCTGGTCGTTTTATCTTCGATTTTATTTGTTAGCTTTTGAACAAACAATAGTTACATAATTTATGAAACAGATGCAACCTTTGAATTCATTAAATATTCTTGCAAATTCAAATACCCCCTTTTTGTATTAAAGTATCTCTTAATCAAATGATTTTTGAAATACGTATAAACCTGCAGCACAGTTCTATTCGGTATCACTTCTGTTTGAACCAACAGGACTGTTGAGAACTACTATCAACAATGTACAGTTCATGATATAAAGGGGAAGAGGAAGTCAGACTGGAAGAGAAGAAGAAGAAGAGAAAATACCATCATATGATTAGTTGCTTGGTGGTGTAGGGGTGGTGTGATGAGGGTCATAAATAGGTTACAATATTAATAATTTGTTTATATCGTACCAATATTATATATTGATATTCTATCATATTCGTAGATCGAATCATCTGCTTAATGGTTTGCATAGAATAGAAAGCATATTCGTTTCGAACATCTTTGGTGTATATATATATTTCCCATTTTACATCGTCCTTAATAGTTACACCCAAATAAATTGTATTCAACACGCATGGCCGTTCTAAGGGTTTGTGCCCAGTAATATAATTAAAGGTGTTGTGGTCGAGTGGATACGTCGCCGGACTGTCGATCGCAAGGTCCGCGGTTTGAGTCCCGCCGCCGAACTAATGTCCTTTGGCAAGACATTGATCTACATTTGCCACACTCCACCCAGGTGAAGTAAATGGTTACCTGGTAAGAATTATTCCTTGAAATGCTAGAGCGCCGTATGGCAGCCGTGCTAAAGCCAGGGGACGCCAGGAGGGTCAAATCCGACTGACATGAGCGCTATTGAACCCATTATTATCGTTATTATTATATAAGGAAAGCAAAATAACGTTATCTCCGTCATTTTACAAACATTTTCCCCTTACATTTACTTTGTTTTTTCTTGTTGTTTGACGTTTCTATGTTCTGTGTTGCTAATTACGTGATGGTAAACCTGTACGTGTATGGTACAATATTGCTTCGACGCTTTCCTAACCTTATTTAATGTTGCAATCTTGATAGGGATTTAAGGACCAAACAGACCAACCAGATCTTCATCTATCTGTGCCTGACCTTGCTGTGTCTCTACACGACATTTATCATCATGATCTCTCTGGATTCTATCAGAGATTATCGTGAGGTCCATGCTGGACCCTGTGGGTTCCTGACGGCCCTAGTTCACTACTTCGTTTTGTCCTCCATTGCATGGATGGGTGTAGAAGGGTACAATATCTACCTCACCATTGTGAAGATCTTCAATACCTACATCCAGAATTTCATGCTCAAGGCTTTCTTAGCTGCATGGGGTAAGAAATGTATTTCCTTATTTTTTTTTGTTCTGGGAATAGTGCTCTCTTTAACATGAAATGCTTGTATGTTTTGTACATACCTACAGAATGTCTCTAGATCAGAAACCTTTGCCAGACTTGTTTAAAATATACATGTAGGTACTGACAGTATGAATTTGGCATGGTCAGATAACCTGCTTTGCTGCGATCAACTTTCAGCAATACAAAAATAAAGAATGGGCGATCAAATGTAATTCTTTTACAATTCATATATTAAACAAAGGAATTTCCCCCAATGTTTTCTTATGAACAAAGTAATTCAAAAACTCTGGCATTGTACTATATTCATTGAACCATTCTAATTAAATGAACAATACGTATGGAAAGATCACATTGAGATGGACTATAGTCCAACTGGCATCTTATTCTCCTTCTTGATTTCATTCAGGTTTGGAGAACTGCAGAGTTGAATCCTTCTCAGATTGAGTCAAATAGAGAATAGACAGACAATATAATAGGGGTACATAAATGTAGGAGGTCACAATATGTGCTAACGACGGCTAAGGCAGGAGCTGCTTTGTTCGCAAAAGATCTTTTCAAGTGCATTTCAAAGATAAATTTAAGGTAGTCCAGGGAATGGGCAGTAATGAGTGGGTCGTCGTTGACTCCAAAGAGGATGAGATTGTTGTTGACGTCGGACACGAGATGGGGAGAAACTGATTGTAGTTGGTGTTGAATGAAAGTTGATAGGCTCTTAATGAAGTTTTACTGTTCGTCATCTAACTGTGCCCATGAATTCGTCATTGGTTTCCATTTATGTGTAATTTATGTATAATACTCGGCATGGCATGTGATTTGTACAAGACTCTAAACCCCAGGAAGTAAACAATTCGAGATATTATTCATTAACAGAAAAATTGTAGTGTCTCCATAACCGTGGTAAAAATTTGTGAGCTGGACAGCACAGCGATAACATGAGTAGGCATATCAGAGAAACGGGAAAGGAATGAGCTAGGCCCATGTCCAGTGTAGGCGTGTTATGAATAACTATAAACATTTTATTTCCTCACAATAGCACGTTTGTCATTTCAGGAATTCCTGCACTAATCGTGGTTCTTACCGGAGCTATTGCTAGAGAATCTTACGCCCGAGATGATCTGTAAGTGTAACCGTTGATATCAATTGGCCCAGAGAGAATACTTGTAGTTGGGTCTATAATATAAGTCCAGTAGTATCCGACAGTGACTAGGCTAGTGTACTGTACTGTGTAAATTCATTTTTATACCTTTCCATCACTGCACTGTCCCTGCTAAACCTTTGTCAGACTACTCGTTCGAAACACATTACATCTCTTATTTGCTCTCTCCTTCGCTGGTTCTTTGGTTTCTCCTCTGCTCTTTCAACTCTGCTCATTTCATGTGTACCCACATACCCATGCCATCCCTTGGCTCAATCTTGATCGACGCGATTGTCGTCACCAGGCGCGTACGCAGGGGGGGGGGGGGGCTGGGTGGATTGGGGTTACCCCCCCCCCCCCTTGAATAAATCCTGCGTACGCTACTGGTCGTCACACATGTTACACATGGCACAAAATGATTCAACCTGAACATGTCCAATTGTTTCCATTATAGTTGTAATAATCTCATAATCACATGATGACTTCCGATGAACAGATGAGGCAATAATTAAAAGCGATCACGAGGATGGAGTTTACTTTATGCCTTTTAAGTTTTTAGGCACTTGGTATTTTGCTATCTCATGAGTAAGCAAGTATGCAATTGTGATCTGGAATTGGTATTAAGGTATCACTTCCATGGATATGTGTTTTGATCCAAGCTTTAGAAAGCACTTTCACCACACATACTAAAAGGTCAGTTGTTTTTAGTAATGTATGGGAAAGTAAATAAATAAATAATGGGAAATCATTTACCTTTACAATTTCTCAGATAAAATATTTCAAGGACCATGGATATTTTGTATAACTATCTCTAAGACAGTCAGTACTTAATTCAGTCACATCACAAAATTCATATTTACTGTCAATAGATGCTTTCTACAATTCTGGGCTCAAATCGGCGGTCTCCTGATTCCCATGTCCATTATCCTCCTCATCAATATTGTCATCTTCATCCTGGTGGTTCGACAATTGCTCCGGTCAGCCAACATCACTGGCCGGGTTAAGAGAGAGGCTAAGGAAAAACGTCAAGAGACTATCGAACGCGTCCAGAACGCGATTTGCATCTTGCTTCTGCTCGGTCTGACGTGGGTCACTGGATATCTTCTGTTGATCCCGTCATTCAGTCAGGTAAAGCCAACTAGCTTAAAAAATAACTCATGTGTGATATCTTTCTCTACTAATAAGTATCTTGAGAACTCGGTTATGATAATTACATACCCCAGTAATACCACTTTAGATGTTTAGTACCTGAAGAACATGTAGGAATGCCATTTACGTAATTATGATATTTCTGGAACATTTGCGTTCAACAGGTGGCTCAGCCAATCTTCATCGTCCTCAACTCCTTCCAAGGATTGTTCATCTTTCTACTGTACTGCGTCCGGAAGCCTCACATCCGTAAGAAATGGGGGCTAACTTGTTTCGACAAGTTCCTAAAGAAAGAAGCAAGCACTTCCAGCGGTGGGGTAAGCTCGACGGTGCCATCCTCGTCACCTGGCATATTACGCAAATTGCGCCCAGGAGCCACGGGTAATTTCGTGTTGCCTACCAAAGACGACAATCCCGATCCTATGTGTATGTTCAATCCGACCTTTGATGTTAGCCAGGTTGAGGAAGGGGTCACACCACCTATGAACAAAGATATTCAAAGTTCAACCAAGGAACTGAAGAAGGACACGGATCGTGATGCAACAAGCACTGATGTCGTTCTTGATGCATCTGTCACAAATGTCACTAAGGGAGGTGATGGTGTTTCATCCACCAGGGATGCTGACACGGTCAGTGTTACTCTGGATTCAACTGATGCCACGAAAGCTACTGAGGGCACCGGTGATGTTGCTTCCACCAACAATGATGCTGCCACCAGTATCCTTTAGGGTGCAGAGGATGGCACCATACACAATGAGAGGATTGATGATGTTGCTTCTGTAACTTGTGATCCGTCAATCTTCCAATGGATTCAACGGTTGTCATCAGAGGAAATTAGAGCAGTGACATAGATTCCAGTGGCACCACCGATTTTTACAAAGGCCAAAGGCACAGTTGAGGTTTTGACTTTAGCAATGTCTTCATTCTTACCTGATTAAAACAAATGTAAAGGGTGTTTTATTCATTTATTTAATGCAAGAATAAGGTCTTATTAAGAGAACATGATTGTACATTGGCATAATACCTTAGGGGAGGGGTGGGATGGATCTTGGCTGAACCCTCCATTTCCCTTCCCCGAGCATTTTACAATTACCAATAATCCGTCACCACATATTTGGGGGACCAGATGATTGATTTTTATTATAATATTATTATATTTCAATGACAAAATTTTATCTGACAATTTATTGTTAGTTATCAAAGTATTCATGATCAGATGAACTTTACTCTGTGGTGTATTACTCGAAGAAGACGTCTTCTCATCGCTGAGAAAAGTATGATGATGATGATGGTACGATGTTTTTTTTTCTCAATTCATTTGAGTAATTTGTAGCCATGACAAGATGTATATACGTATATTGCAAATGGAAATTAGAAAATAATGGTTGAGTAGCTTAAATCCAAGGACCCTATTGCTTCCTATTTTAATGTTTTCGTTTGCAAAGGTTTAATTTCTTTTCTGCCTTGAATCGAACTCGGTTACTTGCTGAGAACGCCAATGCCTTAACCAGGCGCGGATCCAGGATTTTTTAGGGAAGGGGGCCCAACAATTTTTTTTTTGGTCCTCGAAAATTTTAAAATTTGCACCCCCCCCCTTGAACGTCAGAGGGAGGGGGGGGGGGGGCCACCCCAAAAAAAGGTAAAAATCACGTGCTTTTACATTATTTTTTTTTCTCAAGGGGGGGGGGGGCCTGGATCCGCCACTGGCCTTAACCACTAGACCACATTGAACCCGGCCCATCCCCCTTCCCCAAGCAATTTACAATTAACAATAGTCCGTCAACACATATTCAGGCAAGCAGGTGATTGTTATTTGTTATCATCTGTGTTATGCATATTAACCTTATCGTAGTATTCATGATCAGAAGATGTTTTGAAATGATACTTTGTGGTGTATTGCTCAGTGAACCGGTCATTCCATTTTTTGAAAAAAGTATAATGATGATGATGAAACGATGATTTGTTTTTCTCAATTTAGTTTAGTAAGTTTTAGTCATGACATGATATATATGTATATATTTATAATGCGAAAGGAAATAAGACAATGATGGTTCCCCATTGGTGTCCTATTTTTTGATTTTGTTGTTGTTGCGAAGATTGAAAAAATTATCTCCGTTGCGAATCCAGTTGTGTCAATGGTATTGGCAATTCTCATGAAGAATTATATAAACATGTATATACGTATATAAATATATACTCCTGCGGCGGTTGACGAAAAATAGAGCAGTGAGGAAAACTTATGAAAAAACCGTAGGAGATACAAAATATACATTTTTTTCTTTTTGCTTTTTCAAGTAATGACAAATACTTGCAATTCTTGAATTTACCTAGTTGTTGAATGAACAAAGTGCCTATATAGTTTTTTGTGCCTTTTGATTTAAAGTATCTTTGTCGAAATTGATATCACCATATTTTACTCGGAAAAATGTATTTATTCTAGATTATTTTGATTGTATTCGTTACCAATTTTGTTCAAGCATATTTATTTGTTCATGGTGTCCCTGAAAAAGGAGACCCAAGTATATCGTTAAATTGCTAAATATTCCTCAATTACTTTTGGTTAATGTGCTCATAACAGAACAGCTAATACATGAATATATAATTCACCTTCATACAGCGCATATTAAAGGTTTATTGTCTCTAAACCCTATACATGATTAACTTACACGAATGTATAAATCTTTTGTAATATTCATGACAGGAATGTACGTATAGAAATAATGTAAAACAAAAATATATAGGTGCAAATGTATGCAGAAAAATTTACATATAACAAAATTAATAATCACATAAGAAATACTTTTTGAAGTAAGTGTGTAAAAGAAAGGTATTTAGGCTATCCTTAAAATGATTAAAATGGAAGATAAGAATATCAGGACTTACAAGATGAGTTTCGATAATTAATATTCCCAAATCATTTGTCTTTCAAAACGACTATCATTGATTCGTTTAGTTTTCTTGTCAGTGCCACTTCAGACTGTTTTTAATCAGTCATATATATATATACACTTGCACAATTCATACACAAAGATCGTTTAAACACTTTTCCGTTTTAAGTTTTACCTTAAGATTTTTTTTTTTGGTTTTTTTTTAGGCCGCCATCCTTGTCAAGCTTTGCTTATGATTGAAGTCTCCTGCACTTTCCCGACAGAATAGTACGGATAATACTTTAAATTTATGATAATATGTTATGGAAAAAATAAGTTTCGTTATTGAATGTACATATTATGTAAAAAAATATTTTGACATGAAGAAATTATTGTTTGTTTATATTGTATTATACCTTACATTTATATGTTCTTTGTTATTCAGTTATATTTTATTTTGAAAAAATGCAGAAAAAAAAGCAGAAAAAAGCAGAAAAAAAAATATGTGATTTAATGATCACATTCTAGTTGTCATACAATAGAAAGGAAAATGAGCTTTCGGGTGATGTATAAATTATTGTTTTTTTTTTAGTAGTAGAAGAATTGAGTTTTTACGAATCTAAGCTTGGATTTCTATTTCAGGTACACCCTGTATTGTACTTCGTTTCAATGACGAATTGCTAGTAAATGTCTGATACTGCTGATACAAAGCATGACAAATCTGAACATTACTGGAACTATCATTTGTATTATCACGCGCAACAAGAAATGTATAAAAGGCAAACTTAGTAATAAAGTAAATGGCGGAATGGAAAGTTGGTATTCACATTGTTTTTATTAATCATATTGAATCAACTATTTCATATTAATATTTAATTGCAATTTAAAAACGTATATAAACTGCATTTTTTTTTCAAAGCTCATAGCATTATAGCTTTACTCTAAAAATCAATTACAAAACATACCCCAATTTAAAATGGCGGATTATTACAATTTGTATGCAGTTCATATCAGGCGCGTACGCATGATTTTTTTCGAGGGGGGGGGGGGGGTTAAAATTTAAAAATCACGCCGAAAATTTCGCATCGACTCAGCCAGCCGCTGAATAAGCAGGGGGGGGGGGGGTAAGAGAACATATTTTGTTTGGTCCCGACATTTCACAACGACTCAGCCAGCCGCTGAATAATCGGGGGGGGGGGGGGGGGAGAGACCACATTTTTTGTTTGTCCCAAAATTTGTTTTGGGGGAGAAGGTCACATTTTTGGGGTCACCCATTATCACATTTAATTTTTTTTTGTTTTATTATTATTATTTTTTTATATTAAAAAACAAACAAAGGGGGGGGGGGGGGGGTTGAACCCTGCGTACGCGTCTGGTTCATATTAAGGTATATACACTGGGATGAGGTATTTATGCATGACTGACTTTGAATCATGAAGTAGGCCTATCTTTATTTTATCACGTTTCCATGCAGACACCGAAAACAAACGTATTAGGACATTTATTGTAGAGGAAGGAGAGGAATACCGACATATACTGGGGGGGGGGGTGTGATAACTTCAGCCCTGCATACTACATAATGACAACATTTTCGTTTTAAAATACCCATTTGTGGAAAATAGCCCCTTTTGCAAAACTCCCCCGAACGCCCTGCTGTCAATAAACTCCTAAGCAAGTATCCGGAAGAAGTACCCCAGGTTAAACTACCTCTCAGTTTTAGGCCCAGATAGGTTTCTATTAGGAATATAGGATGTATGATTTTGGAGCTAGTAGTCCAGAAGTGGTAAAGTCTAGGAGTAAAAAGACTTTTGGTTTCTTCTCCTTGAAATTGTCCAAGATTTGAAAGTCTAGAGGATAGTCCTGACCAGGCGCGTACGCAGGGGTGGGGGAGGGGTTAACCCCCCCCCCCACCGAAACGAAATATCGATCGGCCAAATTTTGGGACCCCCCCCCCCCCAACGAAAAATGTGCTGTCTCCAACCCTTGCCTCCCCCTCCCCCGCTTATTCAGCGGCTGGCTGAGTCTTTGCGATATTTCCGGCGTGATTTATTTTTCAAATTATAACCCCCCCCCCTTCGAAAAAAATCCTGCGTACGCGCCTGTCACTCGATGAATAAATTAGAATTTCACTTACACCCGTGTGTAATTATGAATGTCCACCCTCCGTTAATACTGCACAATCATGCAAAGTCATGATAATCACTCTTGCAATTGGAAACATGTATTGTGCATGGATGATATCAGAGGCAGACTGGCCGTCGGGATTTCAGGGGGGTTTATCACGGGCCGCTCGAAATTTGGCATGAGAACCCGTCAATTTATACTCTCTTGTTGATCATAAAGTAATATCAGAATGTTGTTACTTTTATTTATCCCCCTCGTTGTAACCAGGGGCGTCTCTAAAGGGGGGGGGGGGTTGTGGGGGTACGACACCCCCCTCCACACCTGTCAGGACATGGTCGGTAAAATTGCGCTGCCGTCGGGAAAAAAGAGAAAAGGGGGAGGGAAAAAAAGAGAGTGAAAGGGAAAGAAAAGAAAAACAGAAAAAGAAAAGAAAAGAAAGGAAGGAAAAGAAAGGAAAGAAAGGAAGGAAGAGAAAGGAAAGAAAGGAAAAGAAAGGAAAGGAAAAGAGGAGAAAGAAAGAGAAAAAGAAAAAGAGGGAGGAGAGAGGCAAGCGCGTAGACAGGATTTCATTTTCTGAGGGGGGGGGGGCGGTAATGAGCATGCAAAGCGCGAAGCGCGGAAGCTTTGACGTATTATTAGACAAAGAAGACTGTGGTGTACGATTTGGCGAACCAACCCAGTTGCCCTAGACCCATAGTAATGACACCATGCACCGTTGTAACTTGGTTATATACATACTGTAGCAGGCAAGGTTCAATCTGCAATTTAATAAAAGGATAAACAATAATAAGTCAACTTG